AGAGAGACAGAAAGCGAGAAAGCAAGCCACCAGGTCCGGTCCAGGACTTGAACCATGGTCGACCATGTGGGAGTGTACAGCGCCTTAACCACCGCGTCACCTGCTGGTCCCGATAGAAGTTTCCTTTGATGACAGTGATGTTCAAGCAAGCTTTGACTTGCCTTTTTGTGCCATAGATCCCTTTGGCCATCTGTTGAAGTCTTGTTTCCTTCTCAGCATCATGTTTTTAAGTACATGAAATAGTGAGTCATTGGAAAAGTCATGACGCTGGACTAACAGTTGGCATAATGGCTGTGTTGCTGGACTCCCATGTAGTTGACCACAGTTCAAGTCCCGGACCCAGTGGCTTAAACTCACGTTGGGCGTATGCGCATGCATGCCCAAGATCCCAAGAGGAGAACGGAGGAGAAGGGATTGTGGTGTGGCCATCCCCCTGGGGGGTGATTTCTTGCTTTCTGTCTCTCTGTCTCTCTCTGTCTTTCTGGCAAGCGCATGCACCTCTCAAAAAAAAAAAAAATAGAAACAGTCATGACACATTTTTTGTAGAAAAACACATCGTGACTTTTCCAGCAACCCAATAAAATACGTAGAATGACAACAGAAACCAATCACAGTTAAATATTACCAAATTGTTTTAAAAATCTAATTTATGATACAATAATGCATACTTCTTTGTTAAAGCCTTAAATAGATTCAGAGGTTGGTAAATGTCTAACAGTAGATATTTTGAAGTAGCAATGGTATAAATAGTATTTGGAGATATCTACAACAACTGGAATATGATTTAACAGTGTGTGTAATTTCTATTAGTGATAGTCACAGGTACTGCTACTGCTAATGGTACTGTGATTTATTGACTACATTCATCATCAAAGAATTACTGTACTACAGATAGAGGTTTAAATAATGGATTTTTTACCCTATCCAGGTTCATGGATCCCTGAATTTTAGATTGTATCCATGGATTCCTTTTTTTTTTTTTTTTTTAGAGATTTTTGCTATAGTGCATGTGTGCTTGCCATAGAGACAAAGAGACAGAGAATCCCCCCGGGGGGGATGGCCATGCTGCAATCCCCTTTCATCCAATCTCCTCTTGGGACCTTGAGCACACACATACACACCTGACATGAGTTTTAAGCCACCGGGTCTGGGACTCCAACCATAGACATGAGAGTCTAGCAACATAACTACTATGCCATATGCTGGTCCCCCCCATGGATTCTTTGAAGGTCACTGGGCCCTAGACTAACAACCCTGGTGTACGTGTTTCCCATGAGGTTATTTGGGGAATGATTGCTGGCACAGTGAAAGGAAGCTGGTGTATACCCTTTCCTATATTATATTTACCATAGATTTATAACTAAAATAAAATAACTGAATTAGAATGAAACAAAAGAGAAACGTGAGGAAAACATAAAAGAATTTAGAACAGAGACATAGGTCAGATAAGGCATACCTTTCATCTTGGCTGTCATTTTAATAGATGGGCAGTGATTTCTACAACAATGTGTCTGAGGGTGTCTCTGGGTTAAAGGGAAGGCGTTTGGCAATTGATAAGTGATGTCTGCATGGCAGCAGAGTGGTAACAGCCATACGATCTCTGACCTAGTACCTTTATAAGTATGCTGTGGACCCAAAGTGTAAGAGCAAAAAGATATTCCTTCTCTCATATCATCACTTATTTGGGTTTGGACTATTATATACTCTTTACATGAATATTTTTAGGTGTAGCGATCTGCTAATTCAAAGAGGTCTGTATAGTTTTCTCTCGTATACTCCTATTCCTCAAATGTCTTAAATCTGTTATCAATTAGGAATGATTTCAGCTGCAAGTAACATACATCAAATTAATGGTAGCTTATACAAATAGGGTTTTTTTTTTCATATGACAAATGAAAAAAATAAACTCATATGTGAGTAGGACAATGTAGTTTGTTCATTGAGTCAGTAATCAATCAAGTAACTAAGGTCTTCCTGTATTTTATGCTTCCATCTTTCACTATTGACTTTGCAGCCTTATCCTTTTCAAAGACGTAGAATGACTGCCATAGTCTCAAACACTGCATGTCTATTCAAATCATGAAAGAGAGGAGTGATGCCAGTCACCCTTCTGCCCTTTCTGTCAGGAACAAAAGTATCTTTCCCCAAAACCTGGCTCATGTGATTACACCTAAAAACAAACAGGCTGAGAAATCAAATATTTGGCTTGTCCACCTCTGCAAGGGAGAAAGGCATGAATGAGAATAACTTTAGTTTGTCAGCTAATAGGATCTGTCACCCTGGAATATACATGTTCACTAATAAGCAGCAGACTGATAAGAACATTGCTAGAGAAAACATCTATCAGTTTTCTACTGAATTTGGAAATCAGGCCACAAAAGGTTAAAGCAAAAATCTTCTTTTTCTTTACCATAAAAGAAAGCTAAGAAAATATTCATTAGAAATCATGCATTGCCTTTATAAACTCTTTAATTTTAATAGCAAGTAGTCTACATGTCTAAGGATGATATTGTACTAGTTGATGAAAAATGCCCTATTTAGCATAGTATAATTGTCAATTTATGCAAACCTAAGTTGACCTGAAACACATACCCTATATTAAACTGTTTAAATACACCTGTGTGTATCACTTTGAACAGATATTATTTAATCCCTATGTGAGAGGTCTTTGGAAAGTTTGGAAAATGGATATTATGAAAAGAATGAATTTTATTTTTAAAAACTTATGCACCAAAATAAATTTGTACTTTTAATTCCATTTTTCCACATACTTTTTGAATTCTCTTATAGTTTATATTTGACAAATGTAGATGGTAATCATCATTATTCCTGTTTTTGATGGAGGTCTTTAAGATTAACTGACCTGACAAGGGTCAGGGCAGTCTTACTGCTAAAACAACACAACTCTTTTCACTCCTTTCTTCACTCCTTTTTCCTACATTACTTCATCCTGGCAAGATTTGGAGCATACACACATGCCCACCCGGTGTATTTTTCAAGTCACCAGGGCTAGGATTCAAACTGTGGTCAACCCTGTGGGATCTGGCTTTCTATGTACCACACTGAGCTGCTATTCTATGAGACCAGCCCTCTTCACTCCTTTCTGAGAACATGTTGAGTGGACTAGAGCTGCTTCTGGGAGCTACCTGGGTTCAGTCTTTTGCTGAATTGAATCTTTAAAAGTTTGCTTTGCTTCTTTAAGTTTCCTTTTCTCTTAAATAGGGGAAAGGGTACCTAATTCATAAGGTTGGTCGAAGAATTAAATGAATACATTGAGGTAAATCACATATTACAGTAGTAGACTTAGGACAATGGCAAATTATAGCTATTTTTATCAGTTATTCCTTTGACTACCCACAATTACCATTAGCCTCGTTCTTATCATCACTATTTCTGTTTCTACAATATTAGGTCACCTAAACTTCTTTACCTTTTTAATTACTCCTGGGACTCATAGAAATGAGACTTATTCTCATTTCTATTGCTTTGTTTTTAAAATTTACTACTTATTTAATGTATTTTATTTTATCACATTATGCATTTATATATTTATTAATTATTTTATTTTTTACTTTATTACTAAATTATTTTTTAGGATTTAATACTTTGTGTTGCATGATTTTAAATACTTACTGATTAATCTTTACTTAGAAACTTTATATGTATTGGGTTGTCAGAAAAGTCATGACATAGTTTTCTGTGTTTTTCTATATTAATTTCCAGAATGTATAGTTGGTACAGCCCATTAGTAGTTCTGCATGATCTAGGCCTAGACTTTTTCTGCTGAAAAGCCAGTAGCTTTCTCCATAGTCAGTGTCTAGAAGTCCAAAACTGTCAGAGATACAAATGAGAGAGACACACAGCAAATTGCTATTTTCTCTCTTAAATGGTATGTGGGAACCCCTTTGAAAAATGTAAAGTTCCTGGGACCAGCAGTTAGCATAATGGCTACGTCTCTGAACTCCCATGTAGCCGACCGTAGTTCAAGTCCCGGACCTGGTGGCTTAAACTCACACTGGGCGCGTGTGTGTGCATGCCCAAGATCCCAAGAGGAGAATGGAGGAGAAGGGATTGCAGCATGGCCATCCCCCCCAGGGGGTGCGTTCTTGCTTTCTGTCTCTGTCTGTCTGGCGAGTACATGCACCCTATAGCAAAAACGTCTCAAAAAAAACCAAAAAACATGTAAAGTTCCTTCCAGGGAACCATTTTTATTATTTATGGCTCTGTACACCAAAGAGAGAAGGAAGGTGAAGGAATAAGAAGAGAGAAGAGAAAACCAATAGTATGTGTCCTCCAAACAAAAGATCACACACATGTTGGCCCTACTGCTCGTGGCCCTCTCCTCTGGGTTGGAAAGGAAGTGGGGAAGGTAGAGTTCAACATTCTCTCCCTGTGTCTTCCTTTTAGTTTTCTTGGAATACTAAGAGCTAGTAGTTTTGCTAAGTAGTTGCAAAAGTAGTTGGTGCTTTCCAGCCTATCCACTCCAGTTAATCTTGTCATGGGGATGGGACCTTCTCCACTCCTTTCTTAGTAACTATTTACAGGATGTCTTCTGTGTGCCAGGCTCTGAGCGATGCCACTTTCTCTTGGCTTCCTTTCAGTGATTGTGTGAGGCTTACAGTCATTTTTTCAGTGTGGCTCTCCAGAAGGAAGACTGGGCTTCTGGCTGTACATCTGGAGCTCTCTTCCCACAACAGCAGAGCTGTGAGAAACGTAACCTGGTGCCGTGTTTATATTTGCTCAGGAGCCTGCATTACGAGTGCTGTTTGTTGATGAATTGCCTTTCTTTTACAACCCACATCCATATGTAGAACTTGGTGATGTGAATTTTTGTTTTAACTCCATTTCTGGTGCTGTTTTATGTTACTTCCCATTCTCCCGTCTTCTCTTTCATCTCCTTTAGATTTATGCTATGTTTTATGTATTGCTGTAAGCCTGTTGAAACCCTTTGTGAAACAAAGCAGGGAATACATAAACAAATAGATTTTTGTTTTAAACAGAAATCGACTTAAAGCCTCCAGAGAAGTAGAATCTGTAGACCTTCCAAACTGCCACCTGATTAAAGGAATTGGTACGTATGAGAAAGCGCTTGTTGTACACATTACATTGACCACCAACATGAAGACACCTTCTAACAGTATTTTGGCATGCAATTACTGCTTTTTAGTGAATTACATTATAGCAACAGAATCCTCTTTGGTCAATCTCTTTTTGTCTCATGTAGCCTGTGTTTCTTCTTCATTCTTATCCTTACTGTAATTTGTTAATTGTTTGTGCAATCCTGTGTTTATCGTTTGATTTCTTCCTTAGTGACTTCTCTGAATTAATTTTGTGAACTCTGTATTCCTTGTCGTGCATGTCCTCTGAGATCTGTATCTATTAGCCTATTGGTCAGTTAGTGAAGGGAAGCAGAAGGAAGCTAGTTCCATGTAGGTAATAACAGCGTTTTTTTTTTAACACACTGCTTTGTAACCAACATCTGGTCTTATGCCTAAGGCATTATTGATGCTTCCCAATATGTACAGAGAAAACTTGCTCTGATTTTTTCTTTTTTTTCTTTAAGCTATGCCTGCAGAGAGGGAACCAATTAGTGGGGTCTTCCCATCCCCTTGACTCTCTGCAGGATACTCTGTAATGTCTGAGTCTTTGAGGAGAAACAGTCCCTAGTTCTCTAAGTAGTAGGGAGCTGTCCAGTTTCTCTCTCAGCACTGAAGACCCTTTCAGCTTACCTGCAATGCCTTCTAGATTAGCGTCCATGTCTTGCTATTTCTTGCCCTTTGCCATCTGTCATCTAAACCTCTAGTATATAATAAATTATCAGTAGCTATTGTTGAATTTTCAATGAACAATAAAAAGAGTTGGCTTTTAGAGATATTTCATGGTATGACTAAGAACAAAGAGAGAAGTCAGAACACCTAGCTTTTGGTTCTGCATCTACCACAAACGTGCAGTGTCAACTTAGGCAAAGCTAGCCCTTTATGCTCACTTGTAATGATGAGTTCATGATTAGGCCACAAGTTTTTAGACTTTCAAAAGAAATTTTGGGATCTGGCTCATGGCAGCTGGATCCTCCATGGCTGACTGCAGTTTTGAGTCCTGGATCCAGCTGCTTGAGAAACATGTTGGGTGCATGTATGTGCATGACTTAAATCCTGGAAGCAGAAATGGGAGAGGAAGGATTGTGCTGTAACTGTTGCCCCATGGGGGCAGGGGCAGAGAGGATGTACTTTCTCTTCTCTCTTTCTTTCTGTTTTTCTCTGGCAAGCACATTTGCCCTCTAACACACACACACACACACACACACACACAGAGTATCTTAGACCATTAATTTACACTCTGACTCTGACAACCATAGTGTGAAAATAACTAGACTACCAGTACATTCCTTCTAATTCTTAAATGACAGTGTCCATCTCTAGAGATGGAAGGGGCAGTTTAATGGTTTTTTTTTTTTTTTTTTTGAGAGGTTTTCGCTATAGGGCGCGTGCACTCGCCAGACAGACAGAGAGAGACATAGACACAGAAAGCGAGAAATCACCCCCCACGGGGGATGGTCATGCCACAATCCCTTCTCCTCCATTCTTCTCTCGGGATCTTAGGCACGCACGCACATGTCCCCAGCGTGAGTTTGAAGCCACTGGGTCCAGGACGTGAACCGCGGTTGACTACGTGGGAGTTCAGCGACATAGCCATTACACCAACTGCTGGCTCCCAGTTTAATGTTTTGTTTTTAAGAAATTAGAATCCAGGTTACTTAGAAGTGTTCTATCCATCTCTTAACAGATAACATTGTTACACAAGTTTTGAGTCTCCTTCCATCTTTTTTTCTATTTGTAAATACTTTCATATACACAATTTTTTAAAAATACAAATGGGGTCAAATTACACATAATATTTCAGAACTAGCTTTTTGCACTTATTTAATACTATGTTGGAACTATAGAAGGTTTGGAGGAGATGAAATTAAAGTATAAAGTTTATTTTGGTGCCAAAAAAATTGAAATCTACATGTAGATTTTTATAACGTGCACTTTCCCATGAACTTTTTGAAGACCCTCTGTGTGCTTAGGGAACTTAAGTCAGTACCCCAAGTTATCTTTAAAAAACAAACAAACAAAAACCCAATGGTATTTTTCTATGTAAAGTTCATATAAACAATGGATGTTTCAATAGTATGGAAACATATACATTAGAAGACAAAAATCTCCATCCTCTCACAGAAATAACCCTCAAAATGAATGTTCTTTTTTTTTTGTCCTTCCTGGTATTTTCAGTACATATGCAAAAATTCTAGGTATACACATACATATCTGCTTTTTTTCACACGTAGCATTTTAGTATAAATATTCCACCATCTGCTTTATTACTGCCACAGTTTGAGAAACTTCCACAGCAGCACATACAGATTTACCTTATTTTAAAACTATTTCCATGTGATTTGTTTAACCAGCTACTTCTTCAGGCGTACTTGGGGTGTTGTCATCTTTGCAACTACAAACACGTCAGTGAACACGGCGCATTGTGCTTTCATTTGTCTGCCTATAGAATGATCCCTAACTGTGAGATTGCCGTTAGTTAGGGTATATGTTTAAGGTTTCGATAGTCATTGCCCATGAGATGGCGGGACCAGCAGTTAGCGTAATGGCTATGTTGCTGGACTCCCATGTAGTCGACTACAGTTTGAGTCTCGGACCTGGTGGCTTAAGACTCATGCCGGGCACGTGTATGTGTGTGCCCAAGATCCCAAGAGGAGAATGGAGGGATTGCGGCGTGGCCATTCCCCCCAGGGGTGATTTCTCGCTTTCTCTCTCTCTGTCTCTTGTCTGTCTGGTGAGCGCACGTGCCCTATGGCAAAAACCTCTCCAAAAAAAAAAAAGAGAGAGAGATGGCAACACTAATAAACTCAACGTCTCATATTTGTAGCTTCATTTACTCCAGATAGGAGTCACAGCATTCTTTTAACAAAAACAAACCATCAGTTGTCGAGCAACCTTTTCTGCTTCCAAAATTCTTTATGGATCTGTCATTTCCCTCTCATTCCTTAGACATCTGTTTCCTATGTATTCAGGTTTTATTTTTCCATTACTACTTATATATTTTTCAGTCCTCTTTTCCTTTATATAGACTGGCAGACTGCCCTAGGGATTCTCCTTTCTTTCAGTTACCCAAACACTTTATAGGACTGTGCAATCTCAATGTTAAATCCGGATTGACTAGATATGCGTTGGATAATGCAGACGGTTCTAGAAATCTCTAGAAATTTGAGAAGGCTGCAGGTTATTCTGTAGTCCCGAAGAACTCAGCACCTTCATCCTGCCTTCTGGCTGCAACTAACAAGAACTCCCTCAGAACTCACTGGTCACTAATCAGATGGCATCCATGGGGGGATGCTGGACAGGACTGAGAGGTTGAGTCAGTGACTTCTTAGGCTACTTTTGCTGCTGAGTTCATAATTGTCACATTGTTACACAGCCCTTAACCCTGGGAAGCCCACCTTCTGTGAATACGAGTCTCAGAGTAGACAGGAGGGCACAACCAGACATGTTACAGGACAAACTGCCAAGTGTACTCCTGTTACAAATCATTGGGAAGAAGCACTCCTTAAAAATAAAAAAAATAAAATAAAAAAATTGTAAAAAGCCCAGCAGCATTTGTATTCTGCGCGGGCATCTGTCTGTGTTTGTGACCTTTATGTTATGGTGTGTGTGAGCTGCTGTCTGGAATTGGAAAGAATGAGGAAATATGTCACCTATGGCCCCTCTCGTGAAGTGTTTAATGCCTCTGAGGCACTTCAAAAGGCAGCAGAGCAGAGAAGATGAGTGATTAGAAGCACATTTGGGATACATTTTTAGATCTAATTAGAATTGTGCTTTTTTTTTCCCCCCTCTCTTTCTCTTTTGCTTTTGCCCCATGGTTAGCGCATACCGTGTGAATGTTTGTTGAATGCTATGTTAGTGATGCATGATGGTTAGTAATCACTTGTGGTTATGTATTTTTTTTTTACGACAGTTGCTTGGTCAATGGTCTTTGATTATAAAGTGGAACAGTGTCCTGGACATACAAAGGGACTTCAGAAAGTTGGTGGAAAAACAGTATTAAAGTACAAGTTTATTTTGGTGCAAACAAGTTTTGCAATCCATGCATAGTTTTTTCATAATGCACATGTTCTAAGAACTTTTTGTACATTCCCGTATAGGCAAAAGATATTATGGTAGGCAGCTAGGGTAGAAAGGGCCTTTATTTATCTACATATTTTTAAATTTTGCCACAGGGTGCATGGGCTCATGGAAGAGAGACAGAGAGAAGAAAAGTGAGAAAACACTGCCCATGGAACATCGTCATGCAATCTATTCTCCTCCATTTCTCCCTTCTTTTAGAACTTTGGGCACGCACAGGCGTGTGCCCAGTATGTTTTATCAAGCTGCCAGGTCCAGGACTTGAACCACATAGCTGGCCATGTGGGATCCTGTGCCGTAACCTTCATGCTACTGAGGTTAAGTAACTGTTTTGCAAATTCTCCTCCCAAGATAGTATCTTTTCCCAGATTACCATACATACCTGACTAGTGAACCCTAAAAGTAGAAGATAATAGGCTACCTTATACATCAGACAATCTGTTTGGTATGGTAAAGGCTGATTTGTTGTTAAAAATGTTCTAGTTTCTAACCTTGAGCAGTTCATGTAATTTTTCAAAGGACCCAAATCTCATGTCTAAAATAAGAGATAATAGTATTGCTTCTGAGTGTTGTGAAGTTATAATATATTGTATGTAAAATACTTACAAAGAGCCTGGTAGTTGGTAAGTACTTGAGGTTTGCTAATAATTATCACTTTTATTATATTATTGAATGAGAGGAGGAAAAATATTCTCTCACATTGACTGTCTAGTATTAATGATGTCAAAAAGGTTTTATAAGATAATAAAAGTCTGGTGATAGTGGCTGTAGAAATGAAGATGGGGAATAGATCTGAAAAATACTTCAAAAAGGCTACATACAGTAAAGACTCGTTTATTTATTTGTCAAAGGGCATGAGTGCTTGCCACAGAGAGAAAGAGAGGGAGGGAGAGAGAGAGAAATGAGATATGGTCATGTCGCAGTCTTTTTTTCACAATAGTCTCTATTCCATCAGGATTTGGGGCATAGAAGCACATGCACCTAGCATGTTTTTCAAGCCTCTGGGGACAGGATTTGTACTGCATTTGGCCTGTAGGATCCAGCTCCTAATGCTAGGGCTTAACTACTGCACTAGGGGGTCCAGCGCTAGGACTAATTTTTTCATTGGAATTAGGAAACAGGATTAAACAAACAAAAACATGGTGTAATGTAGATGAAATAAACAAATGTCTTTTTAAAAAATTTATTCTTTTCTTTATTATTAAAATAATACTATTATTTATGTAAATATTTAAATAAAATTAAATGAAAATTACAAATAATTCTACCACCAAATGAAGCATTGTTCATTTTTTCTATACCATAGTATATATAGCCTTTTCTTCCCTCTGTATGTAAGCATATAAGCATTGAAATTAAATTTTCTTAAATATTTTTTCAGAAAAAGCCAATTTTAATTCATTGAGTTTCTACTACATGAAGTCAGAAAACAAAAGTTGAGCTGGAATTCTGTGAGTGTGTGTGTGTGTTTGTGTTTGTATGTGTGTGTGCATGTGCATGGGTATGTGACAGATACAGACCTCCTTTGGATCCTGTTCATTCCCCGTTGAGAACAACCAGGGACTGGGTTTGGGATTCTGAACCTTTCTTGTAGAATTGCAGATCTTTTTGTGAATCTGCTAAAACTCAAGGGCCATTTTTACAAAAGACTTCTCATCTGCATATACATAAGATATTTTGCATTGCATAGAATTTCAGAGTTCTTAGATTGTTTGAAACCTATTTGTGGCTCTTTGGAGATCCACAGAGCCCAGACTGAGAACCCCTCTACTCTACCGTCTTTAAAGTTCATTTATACAAGAGGTCTTCAAAAGGTTCATGGAAAATGCATATTGTGGGGGAGGGGAAGCCTGGATTAAAAAAAAATTTCTGCACCAAAATAAACTCATACTTTAATTCCATTTTTCAACAAACTTTTTGAAATTCCCTTGTGGATATCTTCTTTCTGAGGAATAGGAAGATAGGTCATCTTTACAAGTAGAGTTTTTGACATTTTTATTTTGTTTTGCTTTTTTGCACTGTAGAACAAGCAACACTGGAAACAACTAGTTCAATGCAAACTTATGAATCAACCCCAAAATGGCTGGATAGATAAATGCTGTTTGGTTTTGACAACCTAGAAGTAATCTTGGAGAAATCCTTTGGAGAGGTCTAATGGGGAAGATTGGATTTTGTAGACTCACAGAATGTGTCATGATTTGGCTTAATCTAAGCCATTTTTATTCTTTTTTTCTTGTGTTTGGGTCTATTATCTGTCTGTGAAATTTATACAGTAAGACCGCTGGGAAGGTCTTATGTCTAATTATTTGCCGTGCTATGTGAAGTGTACTGCAGACAATCAATAAACAATCAATAGTAATTGTAGCCTGTCTCAGAGATGGGAGTTAGAAGCTTCGACGGGTTTAGGTGCATGGTATTTTTCATTAATTCTCTTTGCTAGTTTTTTCTGTAGTTTAAAGCCTAAATTTTTATGATTAAAGAGAAAGCTTTCTTTGCTTATGCAAACAAGTAGGAATTGTTTTCTAAAGAGAAAAGATGTAATCCCAGGTGTCTTATCACTGTTAATGAGAGAAAGAAATGTCTGTTTGCTTCAGATTGAACGAGCAGAGAAGAGGACAGGATATTTGCATGGTTAAATGACTGTGAACCCTTCCTTCTGAAAGTAATATTCCCCTGATGTCAATTACTTTTATACAGACATCTGGATGCTCATCATCAGAGTGTGCAGACGTCAACTTTTTCTGTATGATAGCTAGAAATGTGGTGATAACTTGACTTTGATTTGAGTAAACATAAAATACCTAACACTTAAAGTCAGAAGTTCACTTCGGGAAAGGTTTAGACTGATAGTTAGGAAAGAGATTGGTTCCTTGGAAAAAAATTAGAACCATCCCTAAAGATACAGACATTCTGGTAAAGTCCCTATAATGCTCTAACTAATAACAGAAGTTGAACATGACATTTATCGATTCCTTGAACTTATAGAAGCTGGCGCTGAAGATATTGACATACTTCCCAATGGTCTGGCTTTCTTCAGTGTGGTGAGTATCTTCTTCCCTTTTCAAATTCAGCAGGGTATTTGGTTAAGCCCGTAGAGCTGTAACTTGCTTTGAAAATTCTTAACTTCCAAAATATTTTCTGAAAAAATTCTGACTCAAGCAGGATTTGATAGGGCTCCAGTATTATCAGTCTTTTCTATTGTTAATGGAGAGATGAAGAGTCTTGAGATCAATTGGTTTATTGCTCTTTTTTATCCCCTAATGCATTGCACTCAAGTATGGGGTTGTCGGAAAAGTTGTCACGTATTTTTACATACAAAACACATCGTGACTTTTCTGATAACGCAATATATGGATGCAACTGATATTTTAAAAATGTGTTATTAAAAAATATTTATGGATATTTGATACTACCATTATTCTGTTTTAAAGACAACATCTAACTTCTCCATTGCACATTTAATTTTAAACATATTCTAGTTTACATATTTATATTCATCTTTACTTATTTCATTTTACTTATTTCTAGGTGTATACTCATATTCCAGACCAAGGCCAGTGCTTTTTCCCCTGAATAGCCTATCACAAGTGGAAAGTCTAAACTATCTTTATGTATACCCTTCACTGTTGCCTTGATTCTCTCTCTCTTTTTTTAATTTTTTATTTCTTTCATGAGAAATAGAGACAGGAAACCCTTCCCTCCCACTGGCAGTGTCTGGTCATGCCGCAGTCCTCCCTCTACCCAGAGATCACAGATACCCAGAGGTCACAGATACCCTAGAGCATTCAGGTTGACTTAGGATCTGAACCTCAAGCCTTCCTACATAGTTTGTAGTGTCTTGTAGCGCACCACACCAACTGTACCACTCTGGACTGGTCCAAATTCTTAACTGGCTGAAAAATAGTATCATTTCTGAGAATACAATCAAAAGACTAATATCAGTTGGCCAGGGCTGCTCTGTGGCCTGGTGGTTAAGGCAGGCTGATGATGCAGTTTGATCCTGGACCCAGTACCTTAAGAAAGAAACCAGGTGTGTGTGCATGCATGCCTAAAATCTCTACAGGAGGGAGAGATGGAGGAAAAGGAATTCTGACATGTTCATCCCCCATGGGGGAGTGCTTTCTCCTTTCCCTCCCTGTCTCTCTCTCTTTCTCTCTTGCTGGAGAACACAGGCACCCTCTAGAGGAAAAAAAAGGAAGTAAGAAATAAAGAGAGAGGGAAAGAAAGATCAGTAGGTCTGTGGTCTATACCAGTATCCATTCCAGTAGGATATCCAGAAACGCAGGCAGATGAGGAGGTTCTGACCACCTACCTCCCAGAATTAGGCAGACGTAAGAGTCTTGGCTATCTTCATGGGAACAATTTTTCTTGGGAAAGAAGTATCCAGTTCTAAGAGCTACCTGTAATTATTCTATTCCTTCTCAACATCTATTATTTTCAGGCTCTCAAACTCAGGAATGATGTGAAAAACTTGGAGATACTTTAGAAGAGAGACACAACACTAATAAAATAGTTGTCATATTTATGAGAAAGGTGAGAGAACCCAGCTTGGAAGAGAATGAGGGTTTTAGAACATTCTTCAGGTTCCTGAAAGTTTTTATATCAAAGACTATGAACAGCTAGTTATTGCCACTGATGGGAAAAAGAAGTACTATTGTCTTTAGCAGACATACTAATATTTATATTTAATTTATAAAATACAATTTGAAATGTTTTACTTAATTGCATATGCCGATGGAACAAAATTATATTTATAGTGGGACTCAATTTGCTTAGAAGCACATGTTTGTACATGTGTCTACAGGTTTAAGAAAAAGTGCTGAGAGTATTGTTCAAAAATATTCAATCAGTCGTCATTAGCGATGTAAAAATCCTGAATAAAGTAGACACTCGTTGCATCGGACTTGTGGGTTTTTTATTATAGCATTATCTATATTTTTTTTTTATTATTATTATAAATTTTTTTCTTTTCTCATCACAACACACATATGAATTTTCCATCCAAAATACACTGTG